GGGTGGCGCTGTGGGTAAAACCTCAGTGCCTAGGACTTGCCGATCGTATGGTCGGCGGTTCAAATCCCCGCGGCGGGGTGAGCTCCCATCGTTCGGTCCCAGCTTCTGCCCACCTAGCAGTTCGAAAGCTCCCCTAAGTGCAAGTAGATAAATAGGGACCGCTTACTAGTGGGAAGGTAAACGGCGTTTCCGTGTGCTGCGCTGGTGCCGGTCGCCGGAGCAGCTTCGTCACGCTGGCCACGTGACCCAGAAGTGTCTGCGGACAGCGCTGGCTCCCAGCCTCTTAAATGAGATGAGCGCACAACCCTAGAGTCGGACACGACTGGCCCATAGGGGCAGGGGTACCTTTACCTTTAGTCTCCTTGGGTCAGGCTGCAACTCACCAGGTGAAGACCTAGGGTATAGCAGTGTTATGAGGGGTAAACCTGCTCCATTTCCCTTATGGGGTACCCATGAGCCCATAGAGTCCTTTTGTAGGTTTTCTATTTGTAGGAGAAAATAACAGAAAACAACCAGAGAATATCGAGAAGCAAAGCATCTAGCAAGCCTGATCTTTATTAAAGCTGTTGCAACAGGGTGCTCCCCCAAAGGTGTGCTCGCCCTTATGTAGACTTTTGAAATTGCCCACCCTCAAACTCCAGACCACCCCCAGAAACATCAAACATACATCATAGAAAGGTGGTTTCCAGCAAAATCCTGTCTGGCAGAAAACCTGTTAATGGTCACTGATTGGATCACAGGGCCAAACTGGCCATTCTTTTGTTATTACAACTACTAAATTCCTGAATCCAGGTCACAGGCTCACCCTATTCATATCTTAAATGTGCCCTTAAGGCAGGATTGGTGAGCACAGAGACAATGGGGAGGTTTTTTTCATTTCCTCCCTCCTTGCAGAGAAACATTTGGTCAGTTTGGGAGAGTCAAAATGGTTTCAGGACTGTCTTCCTGTTTCAGACTGTTTCAGACATGTGTATATATTTATGTACATGTTTGCCTTGTACATTTAATTTATATATTTGAGACTTTAATTCTTATAACAGCAGGATGTATCTTTTCAACCCTGAGGATTACTAATTGAGGGATCTACCAAGGGATCTACCATTAACTGTTCACATAAAAGATCCACATTACCTTGATCAAAATTAGGAAAAAATACACAGTTTAGGGTCCAGGACCCCATAAGTGAACTGATTTCTGTAATCACTCAATCACAGAATTTCTGAACTTTGGCACGACTCCACCACATGTGCCCATAAGATCCCTGCCTCCCCACAGCCTGGGTAGCAGAAGGGAGATCCTTCCTTTGCAATGTGAGTGAAACATGTCAGGGTAAAATACCACAGGTGGCTTTATGAAAATGATGTACCGATGGTATTTGACTCCTAGTAAGTTAGCAAAAATGTGTAAGACAGGTACAAATATCTGCTGGAAATGTAAAGAAAAAGAAGGCACCTTTTATCATATGTGGTGGTCTTGTAAGGTAATCAAAGCATTCTGGGAAATTATATATAGTGAGCTGGGGGGAAATGTCCAAACTAACGTTTATTTAAAAAAAACAAAAAACCAGAGGCTTTTCTATTAGAAATTGTAGGTGCTGATATTCCAAGGAAACAGAAAAGACTTTTTATGTACGCGTCGACAGCCGCATGGATGCTACTAGCCCAGAAATGGAAAGAAGATAAAGTTCCTTACCAGAGAAGAATGACAAATTAAACTGTTGGATTATGCCAAAATGGCAAAACTGACCAGAAAGCTCAGGAACCAAGAACAACAAAACTTGAACAAAGAATGGGGGGGAAATATAATTTTATTTGGAGACCACTGTAAGCAAATGAAAACTTTAGCAGGATTGCAATAACACTTGTAATGTAGCAAGTACTATGGAGACAATGGAGTTACAGTGGTACCTCGGGTTACATACGCTTCAGGTTACATATGCTTCAGGTTCCAGACTCCGCTAACCCAGAAATAGTACCTCAGGTTAAGAACTTTGCTTCAGGATGAGAACAGAAATCGTGCTCCGGTGGCACAGCAGCAGCAGGAGGCCCCATTAGCTAAAGTGGTGCTTCAGGTTAAGAACATTTTCAGGTTAAGAACGGACCTCCAGAATGAATTAAGTACTTAACCTGAGGTACCACTGTATATAAAATATGGACTGCTGAAAAATATGCAGTTGAAAAGATTAACAATAGGACCCATAAAGGGGAAAGTGGGAAGTCCAGAGATTCGGAGGAATGTTTAAATGTGGATTTGTATGGTTGTATTGTTAAAATTTTATATTTGTAAAATCAAATTTTTAAAAAATAAAATAATACAATTGATGGAAGAATTCACCCTTATGCTGGCAGAGACCAACCTAAATTGTGGACAGACCACATCTGCCCAGCCTGGCAGCAGCTCTCTCACCTGAAGATGCCAGAGACTGAACCTGGGACTTTCTGCTTGCAAGGCATGGGCTCTGCCACCAAGCTCTCGGCCTTCCCACCTTATCTGGAGAGTCCCTGTCAGTCAGGGAAGAGTCCAGCCACAGGGACCCTGTGGTCCTCCGAATGTTGCTGGCTTTCAACTCCGAGGATAGTGGGGGCTGATAGGAGATGGAGTCCAGGCAGGGCCGGATTTAGGTTTGATGAGGCCCTAAGCTACATATAAAGGGCCCTTGCCAACAACAAATTATCGCTTTTTTTGTGTTGAATATATGCTATATGGTAATTTATGGATCTAATGGGTATCTAACCAGTGATATTTTAGGGAGCAGGCTAGCAGGCGGGGCCCATTACTTAGACCAGGGGTCAGCAAACTTTTTCAGCAGGGGGCCGGTCGACTGTCCCTCAGACCTTGTGGGGGGCCGGTCTGTGTTTTGGAGGGAAAAAATGCCCCACAAATAACCCAGAGATGCATTTTAAATAACAGCACACATTCTACTCATGTAAAAACACGCTGATTCCCAGACCGTCCACAGGCCATTTGAGAGCGATTGGGCCTTAGTTTGCCTACCCATGACTTACACCATAGGAGCCTACACAACACAAAACACTGTTGCTGTATGTATGTTTTATTTTATTTGGTTTTTTGTGTTATATTTTGGAAATGTACATCCAGGTGTTTTTTTCCTTTAAATTTTTTTGGGGCCCCAAGAGAGTGGGGCCCTAAGCTATAGCTTGTTTAGCTTATACATAAATCCGGCACTGAGTCCAGGAACACCTGGAAGGTAATTTCCCCCATCTTTGGAGTAGTCAGTACCGGGGCTGGTAAACATGCCCTCAGGCTAGCATCCTATGATGCTAACCTGGGGAGAGCTGTGGTTATTTAGCAGCAGCAGAGCAAAAGATTTAACTCGCAGACCCCACCTCTACATTTTAAATGGCTTTCATCCAATTAAGCTCTGGCTGTTCATATGCACTAAGAGGAGGGTATACCAAGTACTGGACTTGCCTGCTGGTTGTAGCAGCTCTTTGGCAGGCAGACATCCCCACCCCCACCCTGTCCTCTTTCACTGGGGAATTCCTGGATTGCACAACCATCTCGCCAGAGTCTCCTGCCTATTGAAATCCAGGGCATTTCTGCACTGTGGAAGTCAGATGTTGTGTGGCAACCTAAAATGTACACTTTTAGGACACCCAAAGCATAGATGTGTCTTTCCTGGGGGGTGTTGGAAGAAACTGTGCATGGCAAAGTCAGGATTTCAAACATGAGTTGGCGGGGGCACCTTTGGCACTAGTGGAACAGCCAGGGAAACGGCTTCCACTTTATTTATTTTTTAAAAATTTGCTTAATGTAAAACACATGTCCCAGTTATTTCCTTTGGAATGCAGAGGGGCAAATATGCATTTCTGAACCCAGAAATGTGAGCGTTTCAAAGTTACATACATACTCTCCTACTTTGGTATTTTTAATTTTGAAAAAGTGATACAAACGTGTAATGAAGAAAGGGGAACTTTTGAGTGTTGAAAGCCAGGATGTTCTAACCAAGTGGGTTCTTTTCCCCGATTTCCAGAGAATTTAGGAAGGCTACTTCCTGGACCCCCCCCCCCAAACCAGCTCAGAGTTCCCAGAATCCAGCAGAGGAAAGTCTGAATGAATGAAGACGAGGGTGCCTCTTGAGCATGTACAGAATGTCTTTTCATCGCCACTCAGTAACCACAAGGCTCCTCTAAGCCCTAGAGTCTAGGGTGGCTTCTCTAAAATATCTCCTTCAATTTGTTTCCACTTGCGTTGGGGTAAAAAACAAGCAGCAGCAGTCGTGCTTCTAACGAGCGTGGTTCCATTCGTTTAGCGACTGACTAAACCTCTCAGACCAGACAGTCCCGGAGACGGAGTTTTCCAAAGAACTCAGAAGCCCCAGTTATTTCCTTTAAACCAATACCATCCCCTCCCAACCTCCTTCCCCCTGCCGTTTCCTACAGGAGCTCTTTGTATTCATTCATTCTCTATGCACCGCTCTCCCCCCCCCTTTTAAAGTAACCTTATTAAAACAAACAACCGCAGTCATTTCAGAGCTGCTTTCGGCTTCTGACATATCCCCTTTGATCTAACGTCTACTTATTAGAAATATTTTTATACCGCCCTTCGATCATATTCCCCGGGCGGTTTCCAAAAGGAATAAAGCAAAGTGTACCTATTGAAAGAAAACCCCTAAGCATAATAAACTTAAAAGCCACAAAATCAAGGAGCAGCATGAAACAGGCTGTAGGGTTTGTTTTTGTGGGTTAAAGGAAAAACCCAAAACCTCAGCGGGACCCTCCTTCTGGGGAACCCAGGCGTCCTGGCACCCAGCTCTCCCGCCTCCCAGTCCCCGGTTAAATCCAGGCGACTCGTTGCCCTGCCCAGAAAATCCACAATTTCTCGCTCTGAGCTTTTCCTGCTTTAACTTGCTAGACAGCGCCCCCCCCCGCCTCCCTCGCCCCCTTCCCAGATCAAAGGATGGAACCCAGGAGTCCTGGCTCCTTGCCCGCCAATCCTGGCCTTCCGGATCTGCGTGGGCGTCTCTATAGTGAGCCGAGGAAAGGCTTTGGAGCTGAGTCACAGACAGACCAGCGGTTCAGTCGCTCCTTTTCCTCATCCTCGGAGGCAGGGAGAGCGGTCGAGAGATGCTGCTGCCTTTGGGAGCCGTCCTGGTGGGGCTTTTCCCCTTCCTCTGCAGGATAGCCTCGGGAGAGCCGGTTCCAGGTAAAGGGGTCTCCGGAAGCGGCGGGGTGGGATGGTCTGGAGTGGTGTCGCTTCACCCAGCCGCCTTCACAGCTATAAAGCCAAGGCGGGCAGGAGGCAAGGAGGTGAACATTCTTCTCCCGGGCATGGAGATGGGGAGGCTGCACCGGTTGAACTTCCTCTGCCGCCTGCTAGTCCATCGATCTTACTACTGTCTACACTGACAGTGTAGCGGCTCTCCGGCGTCCCAGCCTCACCTGAGAATACTTGATCTTTGACGCCGGGGTGGGCTAGGGATGGGGGCTGTTGGGCTCCCCCGTCCGAGAACGCGAAATGGCAAAGGAGCCCAGGTTAGCAGATGCGAAGGGGCCAAGCGAGTATGTCAGCTTTCGAATCACACAGAACTCCGTTCAACAGCCCTGTGTCTAGACGTAGCGGCGTTGCCATCCCTTCCTCTGCGTGGGTGTAAAGCTGCCGCCCTCTCTTGTGCTTCTCTAACAGTTGCTCTCCAGGCAGAATTTCAACAGGTGCAACCTTTTAAACCATTCGCGTCTGAGAGGGCTCGACCTGTTGAATGTTTGCCTGTAGCAGAGCTGCCAACGACACATAGCTGCGGGGACAGGGAAAGTGACGAGTCCAATGTTTGGAACGGATCCCCCCAGCCCGGCTTAATCCACAGCAGAGGCGATGGGGAGAGGGGGCGGGGTTCTAGCCCGCCTAGGAAAGGGAAGGCCGTCTGCCCATGCCCAGAGGCGCACTCGACACTCACGATTTCCGCGAGTTAATGGCGCGGAGGCCCCCCCCCCCGCGAAAAGAAGGATCAATGGCAGAAGCGAGCCTGGTCCGCGTTGGAATTTCCATGAGTTCGGTGCCACGCCCCCTCGGCCAGCGCCGCCTCCCCATTGGCTGCCTTGCGGGTGAAAGTTTCCTTTTTCCCCGCGAGTCACAAGTGAGAAAACTGGGACAGGAGAGCAGGATTCGGGCAGCGGACAATTGGGGGCCTGGGGGGTGGGGAGAGAGAAATCTGACGTCCGCTGCATCAGGCGACCCACATGGTGACTCACCCACCGGCTCCGCCCCCCCTTCTCTTTCGTTCCACTTCTGGGCCCGGCGCCATCTGTTTGCTCGCTTGCACGGGGCATATTTTATCAATGAAGTCACTTGAAAGGGGGGAGGGGGGTCCTTGCCCTCCCCCGCGCCACAACTTCGCCACGTGATGCTCTCAGTCTTGACCCCCCGATGCTCTCCTGCTGCTGCTCGGGTCTGGTTCAGGTTTCGGGGCGAAACACGACACCCCTTTCCCTACTGACGTTACCCCTCTGGAAATAGACCCTCATGTCATGGGAGGGAGGGACAGGAGAGCCTCGTGTATGGATCTTTTTCTTCTTTTTCATTCAGCTGTTAAGCGTCTTCATGTTCTGACTTGTCGCTTGGTCGCTTTCATTCATTCAGCTTCCTCCTAATCGTCTTTCTCTCCCTCCCACCCCGGCTCCTTTTACAGCGCGCTCCTCCTAAGCCGCGATTTGCTCTGGAGTCCAGAGGCTGCAATGAGCCCAGCGGGCCTGGCTTCCAAAGAAGCCTGCTTGCGAATCCTGCCGCCCCCCCCCCCGCAAACCCCTTCATTTCTCCCTGGATTATACCCTTTCCAAGCTGGTTTGGGAGGGCAGCAGAGCCGGCCAACACGGATGTCACATCCACACCATCCATTTAAAGCACTTTCATACCACTTTAACACCCATGGCTCCCCCCCCCCACGGAACATAGAGCCAACTCCTAAGGGCTGAGGTCCTTCGCCACCCCCCTAAAATATTTGAGGGGGCCATTCCCCCCCCCCGAAAGTTGATGGGCATTTCCATTCAAATTGTGTGTGTGTGTGTCACATCATGTGATCAATTATGTGGGGCAGGGCTTACCTGCCCCCCCCCCATATTTTATTCAAGTTGGCACCTTTGCTGGGAACCATAGTTTAAGGGTGTTTGGAATTGTAGCTCTCTGTATGTGGGTAAACTACAGTTCCCAGGATTCTTGTGCTGGGGGGGGAGTCATGACTCTTACAGTGGTATAAACCTGCTGGATGTGACTTACCAAAACACCTGTATACACAAGCAACGTTCATGTTTTTCAAGTTTGATGTTTCATTATGTTTTTATATACAGTGGTACCTCAGGTTAAGTACTTAATTCGTTCTGGAGGTCCGTTCTTAACCTGAAACTGTTCTTAACCTGAAGCACCACTTTAGCTAATGGGGCCTCCCGCTGCCGCTGCGCTGCTGGAGCACGATTTCTGTTCTCATCCTGAAGCAAAGTTCTTAACCGGAAGCACTATTTCTGGGTTAGCAGAGTCTGTAACCTGAAGCATATGTAACCTGAGGTACCACTGTATGCTGTAAGCCACCCAGAGTGGCTGGGAAACCCAGCCATAATAATAGCCATAATAGCCATAACAACAACAACAACCTTTTCCTCCAAGTAGCTCAAGGTGGTATATGTAACTCTCCCCATTTTATCCTCACAACAACCCTGTGAGGAAGTTTAGGCTGATACAGATGTCCGTGCTTCCACAGCCAAGAGGCTCCTGCCTAATTTTCCCTTTTCTCTCCCCCCCCCCCAGCTTCCGTGTGCCCCGGAGGCCAGTCTTGGAGCCCAGACCTGGAAAAATGCATGGACTGCTCTGTCTGCCAGCGTCAAAACAAGAATGACTTTTGCACCACATGTGAGTGGCCGACACCAACCCTTACCCACCATGCACTGGGGCGGGAACCTTGGGTTGCTCCAGCTGCGTTGACTTCTTATATCGACAAGCCATTTGTGAGAGTAGAACCGGGATTTTTTTTTGGGGGGGTGGAAGGGGACTGAGGGCAGGAAACCAGGAATGGTAGCTTTCCACCTGCAAGGGTGATCTGCACCGAACCCCTCTCTATTTCATGCCCCTCCTTCCATTGCCCTCACAACAGCTCTGGCTATAATGGGCCTGGGTGTCACCCCTCCACCCAGCAAGCTTTATGGCTGAATGGAGATTTGAACCCGGGCCCTAATCTAACATTCTCTACCCACTACACCACACTGACACTGAAGGCTGCAGGACTCTGTGCCTGTGTGTGTGTGGTGGGTACATAAAAGCTGGCATGAATCCAGGGAGAGGAGGACCAAATTTCAAATGTACATAGAAAGAGAATTTGAAAAACATTATTTTTTTCGTTTGGGGGTTTGTTTTGCTTCTCTTCTTCCTGCACCCCCCGCCCCTCGCAGTTGGCATAAGTGTGTGCTGAAATCTGGTCCCCAAAAAGCCTGCGGCTTGAAAAGAAAAAGATCAGCGACATCCCCCAGCCTGAATTCGAAGCTGAGATTTGCAACTTTTTATTTTTGGCACCGTTTCGTTCCTCTTCCAGCCGTGGGTCAAGCGACTGGCCTTGTGGGAAATGGTTTAGCAGGAAGAAAAAGGGGATGTTGTTGAAGACAAGTCTGGTTCAAATTGTTAAGAGACTCTCGTCTGAGGGGAGCCCCAGGAGGAAGTGCTGGGACCAGAAGCGGATCAGGCTGATTTTAACCCTTCCCTCTCTCTTCTCTCTGGCAGGCGGAGACCCTCAACTCCCAGACAACTTCAATATGTGGCTTATGGTGGGAGCATCTCTGGGCGCCTTAACTCTGGCGGTTTTGATAGGTGGCATCATAATCTACGCCCGCTGCCGACGGCGGGAGAAATTCACCAGTAAGTCGCTTCTTTCCCGTTATCTAACCCTAAACTGGAGTCTTTCTTGGGAGCATCTCGACAGCAGAGCCCCCCCCCCCGCCCCCACACTTATGGCTAAACTTTGCCTTCTCTATTTCCAGCACCAATTGAAGAGACTGGAGGCCATTCAGCTCAGGAATCGCTGATACACTGAAGGTAAGAACGGATGCTTCCAGTCTGTAACCACAGCTCCATCCTACCCCACTCACTTCTGCCAGTTGCATTAACTTAGCATCTTTCACTTAAAAAAACACAGCCAAGTTTATAGTCCTCAAGAGCTGTAGGGGGAAAGCTGGGTAATGTCTCCAGGCTTTTCCTCTTCCTCCATTCCCATAATCCCAAAACTGGGTTTGAGAAAACGACAACGTGTGTTTGCAGGAGTATTTATTAAATTAGCAGGACCGATGGTTGCAGATAGGGTTTTCTTTAACAAGGCATAGACTCAGTTTTGGGGATCACAGAATCGTAGAGTTGGAAGAGATTCTGATGGTGATCTAGTTCAACGCTCTGCCATGCAGGAATCTGAACTGAAGCATCTATGACAGATGGCCACCCAGCCTCTCAGCGTCCAGCTCTCCTGGCCAAGCTGAGTGGTTGTTTCTCAAATCTCAACCCTTGGGGTCTTTTTATTTGAGGAGTAAATAAATCCTGCCCTTTCTCAGAGCAGCATAAATGGAACTCTCTGCTCTCTAACCCTCACAACAGCTCTGGCAAATAGGATACCCTGAAAGATGGTGTCTGGCCCAAAATTACCCAGTATGCTTTGGACCTGGGTCACTCTTAAGCCCACCTTCCCCAGCCTGGATATGATGGGAGTCTTATAGCCAGGATGGCTGAGCAGCCTAAGGCGCTAGGCTCAAGTTGCAGCTCTCACCTGGAGGCACGAGTTTGAATCCTGCTTCTAACAATACATATTTTTACATGGAAGCAGCGCTCTGCCTCCTTTGTCTTGCTTGCAAGCATCTGGGTGGCTCACTTTAAGAACAAGATAATAATAAAAATAATAAAAATAAAAATAAATTTTTATTTATACCTCGCCCTCCCCAGCCAAGACCAGGCTCAGGGCGGCTAACAACCAATAATAAAAACAAGTTGACTAAAATACAATTTAAAAGATTAAGATACAACATTCAAACAATTAGGGAGCAATCTTATCATAGGAGGAGAAAGGAAAAAGAAAAAGGGGGAGGGAATCAAACTGATTCTGAGCCAAAGGCCAGGTGGAACAACTCTGTCTTACAGCATCTTACAAGATGCTGAACTAGATGAGCCCCTGACCTGATCCTGCAAGGGCTCGTCTTGCATTCTTACTTGAATAACACCTGGAGGTCAGCAAATTTGTCTCCAGGCCTTTGACAATCCATTTTTTACATTCATTCTTTTCTCTCCCGCCCCACAGATCATCTTGGTCGACATTTCAAGCGCAAGAGAAGAGATAAATCCAGCCTCTTCATTACCTCTGACTTTTCCTGAAGAATCCGGACAGGACGTTTTCCTTTGGCCCTGCGGGGGCCTTACACTTTTGCACACATGCCAACTGACTCACTGACTCACTCACTCACACTTGTGGGGGCAACGTGGTGTGTGGGGAGGTCTTCCGCCTTCTTAACCTTCTGTACATTTCGGGAAAGGAAAGGAAAAGTATTTGTTTTCCCCCTTTGGAACGGCACATCCGTCTCCCTCTAAATTTTTCAGTGTTAGGGGAGGAGCGAAACGGGTGGGTGGGGGAAATGTCTCTCTTTTTCCCTCCGGTGCCCCACGATCTTAATGCCCCATATTGGGGAGATGAAATTTCATGCTGGGGAGTCAGCTGCAGAGAGAGCTTTTCAGCTGCCAAGTCTTCCCAGCTAGGTCACTTTTTGCTAGGAAGGTCACGGCATCGCCTGTGCCGTTTCCCGCTGCGGAGCATCTTAGGGCTAACAATGAATGTGATTCTTAGATTATCTGTATATAGAGAAGTCTTATTTGGGTGCTAAGGCTCTCCAGGAGAGCAGCAGGGACTGTCTTTTCAACTGAGCCTCTTGCGCGGTGGCTGGGCCACCACGCAAGGAGCCACAAGACCCCACTACCCTCAGTTCTTCCTGTTTCTCCTCTGCCCTTGGTGCTCGAGCAGAGAGACACTGCTATTTATATCTCTAACGTTTAATTTTATGGGTGTGATTTTCAGGCACAGGGGAGGGGGGTGGGGAACAGCATGTCGTTTAATGAACCAGAGTTTGTGGATTTAAATAAAAAATAGAATTAATTATCGATGAAACGAGGGGTGCTTTATTTCGGTTACGAAAGTGTGGCGGCACGACTGAATACTCGACAGCGTTTTATGCGGGCAACTCCCCATTTACACAGTGCATCACCCCAAACCCAGAACTGGCACTTAAGGTGGCAAACAAAAATGGCGCAGACACAGCGTCCAGCAATCCCACGAGCCTTTGCAAGTCCAATCCCAAGAGTGCTGCTGGTTTCTTAAAGGGTTTCCTTTAAGAAGGGTTTCCGGAGGTTTAGAGGGTGTTTGCAGGCTTTTTCAATGGTGTCTGCCATATACACAATTTCACTTAAACGTGTTGTGCCTTTGAACGTAACCCCTGCGTAAATGGGAAGCTGCCTGAATTACCGTATTATTATTATTATTTGAGTGCTCAGAGCATTATGTATATAATGAATGAGGAATCCTTACAGCAGAAGTGGGCGGTCTGTGGCCCTCCAACTCCCATCATTCCCAGCCAGTGAGGCCAATGGGTCAGGGATGACAAGAGATGTCATCTAGGAACACCTAGAGGGCTATTGGGTTCCTTGTCCCTTGCCATATGACAACACTGTCAGGTGAATGAGAATGAGAAGGACTTTGCAGGCAGGGGGGCTGCAGGTCTGACTTGCCTGAATTGTCCCCATTCCTTGGACTAGGAGGGGAACCAGAAGGCAGCATAGCTCAACTGGCAAAGCCAGTTTTTGGGTCCTGAAGCTTGAACTGCTGTGGGGGCCCCTTCGCAACCAACAATGAGGTATGAGTAACCCGTGTTACCTTCTTCAAGGGGGTTCCATGACAGATCACCACCACTGACTCCCAATCTTTGGGGTTGTTGAAATAGAGACAACAACAAAAACAATCCGTGCGACTCAAATTGGGTCTACTAAACCCATCATTTTATAAGTCGCTTTTGGGGTCCCTCTGGGATTAGGGGCCCTGAAGCTTTAGCTTCATAGTAGACCCACCCCTAATCATGGACACTCCTGTAAAAAAAGGGGGAAATACTTGCCCAGTAGTGATGTATGGAAGTGAGAGCTGGACCATAAAGAAGGCTGATCGCCGAAGAATTGATGCTTTTGAATTATGGTGCTGGAGAAGACTCTTGAGAGTCCCATGGACTGCAAGAAGATCAAACGCATCCATTCTGAAGGAAATCAGCCCTGAGTGGTCACTGGAAGGACAGGTCCTGAAGCTGAGGCTCCAATACTTTGGCCACCTCATGAGAAGAGAAGACTCCCTGGAAAAGACCCTGATGCTGGGAAAGATGGAGGGCACAAGGAGAAGGGGACGACAGAGGACGAGATGGTTGGACAGTGTTCTTGAAGCTACCAGCATGAGTTTGACCAAACTGCGGGAGGCAGTGGAAGACAGGAGTGCCTGGCGTGCTCTGGTCCATGGGGTCACGAAGAGTCGGACACGACTAAACGACTAAACAACAACATTCTCAAGAACTCATTTCCCCCAAAGAGTCCCTTCTTCCCTGCCATTCTCTGGCCCTTGAGTGGTCCCAGATACGCAGTGCAGAATCAAATCACTTGAAATGGCTGAAGCTTCCTTCCCTTTGGATGGGGAGGGAGGGCATGGTTGGGAATGCAGCTGTTTGGGTGGTTTCCTGTCTTCCTTTCCATCCAGAGCGTAGCCTGAAGGCACCTTGATGTTGCTCTCTCCTTAGGAACAGAGCAGGCCTCAACTTGGCCGCTGCTCAGATGGGAGACTGCATGAGCTGCTGTCGGCACTTTGAAAGGCTGGGGCTGGATGTTGTAATTGCCTTTAATTAGCTTCCTCCGCAGACAAAGCACAGTGTCTAATGGATGACTACCTGCACTCATGGAAATTGTGCTTGCACCCCATTACCTTTCTGGGGCGTATCTCACCCAGAGGCTTCTTAGATGTGGCTGGGCCCCCTCCCAGCTACCCAGCTCTCATCATAGGACCTCTTCCAGGTTTCCCATCCCCCCTTGTGTACCTGGAAGGCTACAGTCTCCCAGGTGTGCCTGCCTGTTCTTTTCAAAGGTCAACAGAGGCCCTGTTCTGCGTAGCTGCACCTTCAAATGTCAGACAGGTAATGGCGACCGGTGGGGCCTTAGTAGTGGTGGCACCTCATCTTTGGTGGCACTGTCTCACCTGGTAACATTGGCTCAGCAGCACCCGCAAGATTAGCGTTTGCACACCAGGCAGCAACTTGTTCTGATTCCCTGAGCAGTGGCATCTTTGCTACGGTTGCTTTATTACAGCTTCTCCAATTATTACTATTATTACGAGGGTCTGTACACATGCTGGCTATGATACATACAAACCCCGCTTGCCTATATAGGACTGCAGCCTCGGTTTAATTTTCTCTTGATGCTCATAGCTCAACTCGGTTGATTAGAGCATAGTGCTGATAATGCCAAGCTTGCAGGTTCGATTCTTCTTCTTTTTACCACGCTGTGTCTCCTAACGCTCTGCTTTCACTTGTTCTTCCTTTATTCTGACGTTGGGATCACTTGGAAGACTGCCAAGTTGCGGCAGGGGGAGGCCCTGTAGGTAAGGAAATGCTTATTAACCAAGCCACATAACCATTAAACGCTTCTGCAATCTCCCGTCTCTCCCCCGGCTCTTCTCTTCTTTAATTTTATTCTTCACTTCCCGATTTCTGTCCTTTAAAAGCCTTTGGCTGGGTCCTCCCCTCCTCCCCCATAATTTCCTTTCTCCTCTTCTCCCCCCCCCCACCTCTCCCTGTGACTCACCCTCTCCCTCTCTTTTCTTGCACTTGCCCTTATGGCCTCGCTGGCTGCACATTCCTGTCCCCTTAGTTCATACCAGCCTGTCCGCTGACACCACCCAGTGAGTCATCTGAAGGTGGTGGGGCAGCTTTAGCCAGAGAGGGAGGGAGAGCATGACTTGGGAGGGGGGGCAGAGGAAGCTCTCAACACCTGAGCCTCCCTCCAACTCCAGAGATCAGTCCAAAGTCTCCTACAAAAACCCCTTCAATCAGTCTAGTTCCCCCCACAGAGATGCTGTCTGTGAAGCAGATCAAACCAACTCTATTTAAACTCTTAAGGTGTGTGAGATTTTTTAAAAATAAAATAAAAATGAGGTGATGTCGATCCACTGAGAGAACGTCTGTTCTGTATTGTAAGAGAGCTTAATATAGCTCAGGGATCGACAAGTGTAACTTCATAGCAGCGGAGCTCAGAACTTCAGCAGCAAAGAACTTGAAGAGGCAAGAACAATTTTAAAAAGCAAAATCTTAAGAGTGTCTTTAAAAAGAAAATGAAGCTACAACTGGCCCTAGCTAGCCCTGGTCTCTCTGAGAATAAGGGGGGGGGGTGTTGGTCACCGGTTACTTTAAAGCATCATGGGGTTCAAACACCTGGAATAGATGAAACTCTTTTTTGTGTGGACCAAATAAAAAAGATTGCTTAATTCTCAGTTCTTGGCTGCTTCCAGATGGCCTGCTTATTGAGCATACATGATCCTGAGTTGTCTACAGGGTGGTGAGGCTACACTGGCTATTTTCATCCTGATTTGTTTGTGGGGTGGTTAAATGTCATTATCCCATATTTTCCCGTCTGTTTCCCCATCACTTTCCTTATTGCAAACTGTCAGGTGATTGCTGGGTAAATATTCTCCATTTTAATGGTGCAACCTGAATTTGCCAGTATGTGGTTGAATCTCACCCCAAAATAGCAGCAGTCTGAAAGTGCCCTTAGTAATGTGGGTAAAGGACCACTTTGATCGGGTTGAATTGTGGGAGGGATCAAATTTAAGAAGATAGGTAAAAGTAAAGGACCCCTGGACCATTAAGTCCAGTCAAAGGTGACCATGGGGTTGCTTTCAGGCCAAGGGAGCCGCCGTTTGTCCACAGGCAGCTTTCCGGGTCATGTGGCTGGGACACCGTGAGTGCACAGAAACACCATTTACCTTCCTGCCGCAGCGGTACCTATTTATCGACTTGCACTGGTGTGCTTTTGAACTGCTAGGTTGGCAGGAGCTGGGACAGAGCGACGGGAGCTCACCTTGTCATGGGGATTTGAACTGCTGACCTTCCAATCGGCAAGTCCAAGAGGCTCAGTGGTTTAGACCACAGCTCCACCTGCGTCCCCACTGAAGGATGCAGAGTTGAACAATCACTCTTGTGTTCATGAGGAACTTTAGGAATTGTAGCTCTGTGAGGGGAATACTGGTCTCCTCAAATCTCTCAGCACCCCTAACAAACTACAGTTGCCAGAATGGTTTAATGAGTGTTAAAAGTGGTATCTCAGTGTTATAAATGTATGGTGTGAATACGGCCTAAGAGAGATGGTTCAGCATTCTCCAACATACAGTGGTACCTCGGGTTAAGTACTTAATTCGTTCTGGAGGTCCGTTCTTAACCTGAAACTGTTTTTAACCTGAAGCACCACTTTAGCTAATGGGGCCTCCAGCTGCGATTTCTGTTCTCATCCTGAAGCAAGGTTCTTAACCCGAGGTACTATTTCTGGTCTGTAACCTGAAGCATATGTAACCTGAGGTACAGTCATACCTCGGGTTACAGATGCTTCAGGTTGCATTTTTTTGGGTTATGGATGCGCCAAAACCCGGAAGTTCCAGAACGGGTTGCTTCCAGGTTTCAGCGGTCATGAATGTGCAGAAGCGCTAAATCACGCTTTGCATATGCGCAGAAGCGCCAAATCACAACCATTGCGTACGCAGACGTGGCGCTGTGGGATGTGAACGCGCTTCCCACACAGATCACGTTCGCAACCTGAGCATCCACTGTACATCCAACTCCCAAAATTTCTGGGTTGAAGTGTCGAGTGTTCTGCTGCCCTGTGCCTGGGAAGTAAACCCTTTTCATGCATTATTTTGGCCAAGACAAAAATGTGGGGGCCAATCACCCCACAAGTGACATCCCTATCCAAATAGGGACAGATTGCTCCCAGTATTCAAGAAGATACTATCCAACATCTAACCCCACTGTGTTTACAGATACGGGGATAATTCCCATGACTTACTAAAGGCGCTTCCAGACTGTCGCTATTTCTGGATGAGATTCAATCACATACCAAAAATTCAGGACAGGAGAGGGTTGTGAAATACCAAACACAAGTCTAACATGCAGCAACCATTGCAAGGAAGCATATACTATGCTAAAACGTGAAAATAGAGCACTACAACGAATAGGATTAATCAGGAAAACCTGGGAGCAATCGGAGATCATAAAATTAACCATTGCAATGCACCTCTATAAAATTATCAGAGAAGAAATGTTGAAACAGGTGCCTGCGGTAAATTGCATTGAAAAATAACTGGGCATAATAGACACAGGGTTAAATCAAATGCTGTCATTTAGAGTGCATGTGGCAGGGCAAAGAAGTTGGGTTTTTTTAGAAGTGGTTTATGCTTATTTATACGTGTGCCTATGGTGGGAAAGTTTTGTATCTGTGTTTTGCCACATCGATAAAAGTTAAATAAATAAATAAAAACCAGGTTGATTTGGAGGCCTCGCATAACAAACCTGCTTCCCTCCCCGCCAAATTTGACTTTTAGTGGTAAAGAAATAGTTGGGGAAATGGACTGGAAATTGTGAGGGGGGGATTTGCTCCCAGCCTCTCTCCCAATAAATCAGAAGGAATTCTCAACAAACTGCCTGTGCTCTCTAGTCTCTATGCAAACAGCTCAGGATAAACACTCAATAAACAGACTGTCTGGAACAGGTTGAATCATCACAACTGTGAACTTACTCATCACCTTAAGCCAGCCGTCTTCCGCCTTTGCACCTCTTACCCCAACCTGCAAAATGGTACTCCGCTTTTTAAAAAAGTATTTATTTCCATTTTAACTGTTTGCTTCTCTCCCATTCCTTTGAGGATATTTTTGTACAAAAAATCCTCTCCCCCTCCCCCAAGTGGTGCAGTTGGTGCAACCCATCACTTAAAGACCAAGAAACCATCCTGTTATTTGTACCAGAGCATGAGTCATGCTGGCCACATGACCCGGAAGCTGTACGCCGGCTCCCTCGGCCAGTAAAGCGAGTTGAGCGCCACAACACCAGAGTTGTCCACGACTGGACCTAATGGTCAGGGGTCCCTTTACCTTTATAGTTAATGGAAAAATCTGAGGGCTCCCTTGGACAAAAAATCAAGGACACCAGCCAGGAATACCAGAGCAAAACAGCAGCCAGTAGGCTTGGTCTTTATTGAAGACCGTCGCGACAGGACTCCCACCTGCCACAAGGTGGAACAAGATGGAAGCCCCGGACAAAAGAGCCCCCAAACTTTTATTAGCTGCTAATCCCCATGCTAAAGGGAAAGGGAAAGGGACCCCTGACCATTAGGTCCAGTTGTGGCTGACTATGGGGTTGCGGCGCTCATCTCGCTTTATTGGCCGAGGGAGCAGGCGTACAGCTTCCGGGTCATGTGGCCAGCATGACTAAGCTGCTTCTGGCGAACCAGAGCAGCACACGGAAACGCCGTTTAGCTTCCCGCTGGAGCAGTACCTATTTATCTACTTGCACTTTGAGGTGCTTTTGAACTGCAAGATTGGCAGGAGCAGGGACTAAGCAACGGGAGCTCACCTCGTCGCGGGGATTCGAACCGCCGACCTTCTGATCGGAAAGTCCTAGGCTCTGTGGTTTAACCCACAGCGTCACCCGCATCCCTAATCCCCATGTTACATTGGTATCATGCAGCAAAGGCCCTTTGAATAGATAGGAAGAAACTGTGATGAGGTGTTTTGTGGGGACAAATCACAAAAGTCACAAAAGCGATTCTGCTGGTTTTGGTAGTGGGCTGCCTGTGCATGATATCTGCTGGAGGGGCAACACCCCCCCCCAACCTAAACATAAATTCCTGCAACAATATATATAAGAGACTATCCCTTCTGCCGCCTCAGAACTCTGATCCCCTCATTTTGCTGCATATATAAGGTAAAGGTAAAGGGACCCCTGACCATTAGGTCCAGTCGTGGCCAACTCTGGGGTTGCGGCGCTCATCTCCCTTTACTGGCTGAGGGAGCCGGCGTACAGCTTCCGGGTCATGTGGCCAGCATGACTAAGCCGCTTCTGGCGAACCAGAGCTGCGCACGGAAACGCCATTTATCTTCCCACCGGAATGGTACCTATTTATCTACTTGCAGTTTTAGGTGATTTCGAACTGCTAGGTTGGCAGGAGCAGGGACTGAACAACGGGAGCTCATCCCAACGCAGGGATTTGAACCGCCAACCTTCTGATCGGCAAGTCCTAGGCTCTGTGGTTTAACCCACAGTGCTATCTGCGTCCCTTGCTGCATATATAGACCAAAGCTTAATACAGACTTAATAAGGTGACAACGGAAAGTAAGACCCTACCTATCATTACAATGGGCCTCACTTCCGAATAAACACACACTCACGGACTGTTGTGTAAGGGTTGCTATCCTCAAAGAACCATAGAACTGTAGAGTTGGAAGGGACACCCCGGGGTCATCTAGTCCAACCCCCTGAGATGCAGGAATCTCAACTAAAGCATCCGTGGCAGATGGCCATCAGCCTCTGCTTTCAAAACCTCCAAGGAAGGAGAAGA